AATAATATGTTCCAGAATCGCTGTGAAATATTCAAAATCACATATAGATATGTCTGGAGGTATATATAATATGCCTATACATTATTTATGATATGTGAACCAATTTTGCAACTACACAGGATAATATCAATAAGCGGTATTAAGTTAGTCAGCTGAGAAGTGTCCATCTTGGTAACAATATACTTGCTTGCTATTGCGAATAGAAGGAGGTGGTCTTTAGAACAATCGACTGCACTAACGTTTCCATCGCATCTGATCATATGATAACGTCATTACAAAATGTTGTATTGGAAAAACTCACTTAAAATACATGCCAGGCATGTTCTTTACCCTTATTTTAAAACTATACACATATCTTTATAGCTTATAGGGATTATCTTAAAAAATAAAATTCACAAAATCAAAGAGAAGGGGCTACTGTTCTTCAGGGGCTAGGCAAGTTCTGTCTAAAGAAGCTTAGACCAATGTATTGTTACTTAAATTGCCATGCCATGACGTAAAAGAGTTGACACCAGCGTGCATAAATCACGAGCAAATAAACACCTTTAAAATTTGTTTTTACACGGTCTTGATGCAGTTACTAATGTAGAGTTTTGTAGAATATTTAGATTCACAAGTATTTGAAAGCATTGATGTATATTTATTTATGGATTTAAATGCATATCTATTTATATAGGACAGGAAAATTAGTGATCAGTTCACGTAGTACTTACGTCAACTCAACAACATACAAGAAGAAAGTGTGGAAAAGAAGCCAAACACACTGCTCATGTGTTATGTACTTAACTTTGTAATTGCTCTACTTTGCCATAAAATAATATTTTTATTTGTTCCTTACTTGTAATCATCAATCTCCAAGTCACTGTATTCCACATGAAAATGTCACTTTTACTGGCTAGCCAGTAAAATTTTTACAGCCCTGCTCGTGCTCATACAGCCATGTATTTTAAACTATTATAAGTTGAAATGACATCCAAAGTTGATTCAGGCAAATGTTCACTCACAATTGCTGCTTCCTCAGTAATATAGCTTGCGCCACGCTCAGTTCAATAAATGACAGAACAACACAATAAGTGCCATGCTGACGTGCGTTTCCAAGGCAAACGTCTAAAGCTCGTACGATGTTTCTTCAAATATTGGACCTTCTAGGATTGTTAATAGTTTATAATAGTTATTTACAAGTGAGAAACAAATAAAATATGGAACAATACACGCAAGGTAATAGGTGTTTACTGGCTCCAGAAGGTGACTGCCCGCCAGTAAAAACCCTTTTACCACGCTAGTAATGTTAAATACTGTTTCATAACTCACACACAAAATCAAGTTGTTCTAAAAACTAACTTTTTTATTATTTATTAGTTCCTTTAATATAAAAAAATGTCTGATAGGTACCTTTGGACGGAAAATAAATGTAATGTAATAGTAGCCACGCACTTTCTTTGTGCTAAAACGTTTTCTGTGTTTATTAGTGGCCATATTAGCTATAGTTGGAAGCATCACATCAGCAACAACAACTAGCGCTCCATTACCACCGTCGGCCGAGTCACTTCGTGTTCCCGGGGGAAGTGCGACCTTCTCACTACCGCCGTAATCGTAAATCTTCCAATAATTCATTAAGCTTCTGCAATTACTCGACATTGCACGCTACTCGCTTGCTCCAACTTATGTCTGTGACATTCTCGCCCTGCTATAGCAACCCCTTAATGGCCACGATAGTCAGTCAGGACAAATATTTGACACGTGCGCCACCCACAAATTTCCGCAATTTTACCAGTAAAAATAAAATTAGCTCGAACAAGATGAAAATGGATGAAAAAAGTATCAACGTATCGTAACACACGGTTCAAAGTTTTGCTTATGTGTCTTTTGCAAATTAAATAATTTTTGAAGTGCAGATTTTATTTTTATATTTAATGACTCTATAAGAAGAGTTATTACAAAAATAGTATAGATCATTATTCCATACACGTACTCAATTCAAAGCAAATTTTTTATTATTATAAAAGTTAATGGGGATAAATTCAAGTATGCCACATCTGGGCGTTTCATGACCCCTAGAGTATGAAATAATGAGTCCTTCGTGTCTTCTATCTGTCTATCTATCTGTCGATCTACTGTTTGCAATCTGTCCGCCGTCTGTCCACCGTCTGTCTGCTGTCTGTCCGCTACCTGTATCTATTTTTATTAGACAGATAATTTCCGAAACTACCGGACCGATTGTTGTCAAATTTTATATGTGTTGTGTGAAACTAAAATTTATCTGATATCCGCACTGTTCTTGTAATGATGTTTCCTTAAAATTTTATTTAGTAAACGACATTTCCATTTTATAAAATAATATAATTCATATAATACCTGACTTTCACTCGTTGACCAGTGGAAAGGTGCTTTGCTTTGCAGATGAAATATCCGCGATTCGATTTTTGTTATTGATAAAATCAAGAACGACACATCCCACTGTTTTATTATTGGTATTACACTGCACGCGTCGGAAGTGACATACGTGTTCTTTTTGAAATGTTGATCTGAACTTTCTCAATTGTTTTTAACTTGAAGGGGACTTAATTTAGTACATTGCAAAAATAACGTATATTATTATACGCAAGCCTATATTTTTTAAATTGCAAAGTATATTTTACATTATTAATAACTTAAATGATTCAATAATTCTCAAAACGCCAAAAGTTGTTTTGTTAAGAACATGTTATGAACAATATGTTGTTCGTAAGTTTTTCGAACAGAGTAATGTAGGTCATTTTTCAAGTGATAACAATAATAATCAACCTTGTTCCAACAGGCTACACCCAATTCCAGGAAACATTAAGATAACTAATTAATTATTATATGAAGAAAGCACGTATCACTATCAATGCACTAGCACTTTGTACATAAATAAACTAATAAACTGTGATTACAAGAAATAAAAAAGAGAAAGCTAAATAAGTAATCTAAACAAATAAATCTTAAACCCGAAGTCCACCTCTATACGTATAATTCACTTAATCTGAAGTATTATTTGCGTTACAGTTAGTAATAAAGTTAAGTGAGTCGGCATGAATGTCACAATCTTTAGAAATAATAAGATTATAACTATTACACATAATTGACACATAGGTGACTTGTTGATAACATTAATTCTAGGAGTTGATGTATAGAAAGTGACAACAAGTCTAGCATTTAATCTTGGTAGCCTAAAAGAAAGTTTAGAAAGAAGCCAAGACCAGTCCACCCTATTAGAAGTAAATTAAAAAGAGATATCACAGTAATACTGGTGCTAGACTTGAACCGTGTAACTCGGTTAGGTACGTACTATCCAGCAAAAAACTGCTCTTTAGATGTGACCTGGCGTCTTTGAGACCGTGTGACCGGAACTGGTAAGGGTTACCTTCGTATGGAGGACATGCAAGATGCCGTATGATCTTATGTGTTACAGATACGAGTAATAGATTAATTACACAATGTTGTTTATGATACGAAAACAGCTTCTCTTGTTCTACGTCCCTCATTACATTTTAGTTGATCCAAACTGTTTTCACAAACTGGGGCTCTATCGGAGGCCCACTAAAGCAAAATGTAGCATCTTGTACTTCTGCTACAACTGGAGGCGTTACCGTGTAAGAGGAAACCGGGTAGGGAGATCCCATTGTGAAGATCCTTTAATGACTCTGAGAAAACAGAAAGATGGTTATCACACCACCGTGGGTATCAGGGGCCACGGCAGAGGTTCTTTTAACGGGCCCAAGGCAAGGTGTGCAGTGGCACGACTCTCACTAGTTAAAGGTTTGGTTGTTCGAACAAATTGGTTTGGACGATAGTTCTGAGTTTGCCTTACCCATATGGGGGACGAGCTTCAAAGCTTAGGACCCATATAAAGGAAACCATCTGTGGTCTTTCCTTCTTACTTCCCGAGCATAAAATAGCTATTTGTGTATTAAGAGCGCAAAATTATACAGGGTCATTATAAAATATTGTAGTCAACTCACCTATGAAAAACAAATGAAATTTTTCTCGTGCCGCTAATCACCAAAATGATTTGAACTGTTTTGAAATGTCACGAACGTCCAAACAAATCTGTCAGATGTGTCAAAAATTGAAATGCCCGGTTCGCGGTTTAATTTCATTTTAAATAGACACGAAAAGACGCCAGGCCAGAGCATTAAGGGTTGCAGTGTTATCGAGCATTTGTGAACGCCACTGCAATACATTTCAGTTTCAAAAATTGTAAATTGTCAGAAAAACGTTTAAGGGCTTTGTCATGAATTACACCTTGGAAAGTCGATTGGAGTTGAACAGAATAAATCATCTGGTCTGTTTTGCAAAGAAGCAATAATTTTTCAAATAATGAAATCCAAAAAGTGAGGTTAAGTTTGTCGAAACCAATGAACACGGTAATTATTTAAAAAATTACATTTTTATAGGTACCCTGAAGGTAAAAATTGTGAAAAATCACGTAATGGACAATGGCAGAGCAAGTCTTATCACAGTTAACGAACACTATGAGTACCTAATGAGTTTTTGCAGTAAATAATTTTGCCAAAGTTGTGATCTCGCGAAAGTTCTGTAAATTGTAAGGAATCGTCAAAATATTGGTGCAGACATGGTTTGTGACCGGTGCTTTTCTCTTGAAAAAACACAACTGAAAGCCTTGATCTTCATCCCTACAATAGGTGAAAACTGCTATGTCCAAACATTACCTTCAGCTTTGCAGTTTCTAGATATCTGAAACATGCCAGATCTGCATAACAGGAATGTCAAAGAGGTTCTACCCAAAACACGCCCACATGGCCATCCTAATATCAAAATTTTTCAAAATTTCTATAACAAAAAAGATGAAAAAACCAATAAAATTTCAGGAGCATAGTGTTAAGAGTTCTGTAGATGATTATGAGGTCTCTTGAAACAACAGAATGTTTAATAAAGATTTTTAACTTTCCTAATAGTAAAATTACAATTATTACTAAACAGTAAGTTGAAGTTAAGTTTTAAATTAAGAGAATGCAACTAACACCGAAAGAAAAATGAAAGTTACTGAAAATAAAAAACTTTATTGCAGTACCTACATACACTTTCTACATCTAATTTTGTTTATTGATCACATTCATTTACTTGAAAAAGTATCAGGCCTATGAATCGTCGTCTGGAAACAGCTAACCACACACCAACCTTCATTGCGTGTGATGGTGTTTCTTCAAAAGCGTGAGTATTTTCTATACACCAAATTCTGAAGTTCTGTCAGTTGACATAATAGCCTAACAGATGAAACCAGGCTTCATCAGAAAAGAACGACAAATCGAGAATCCCGTTATCGTCCATATCAGCTTGAAACCAACTACAATACCCAACGCGGCAAGGAAAATCAGCTGGTTGCAGCTCCTGAACCAACAAAATCTTGTATGGATGCATATGTAACTTCTCTTTTACGATTTTCTGACATGGGCTGTATGGTACTCCGGACAGTAAAGATTTTTGACAAAGCTTTATTCGGACTTTGTTCCATTCTCATCCTTAAATCTTCAACAACGTCTTCACTAACTTGAGGTCTCCCCGTCGGTTTTCACTTAGAAATGCTACCAGTGTCGTTAAATCTGGCCATAATTCGCCGTATAGCGTCTTCAAAGATTCTTCATCAATGACAACAGAACATTTCACTAGATACTCGTTTTTAGACGCCTCCACAGAGTACACTCCATCCCCATCCTCATTTAACACCCCATTACGGTAATAGGCATGATGATTGCGCCAAAGAACTAAAAAAATCATTTGTAACACTGACCATAGTTATTCCTCTGTGTTCATTACCTGAGATTATTCCACAATGATCTGTAGTTTTGATAAAAACTGTTTTTTGAGACACTTATTAAAGTTCTAACAAAGGGGAAGACAGCAAAAATGAAAACAAGACATGTCAATTAACTCACAAAGTGAGGGAAATCGTACCAGTACAAACGAAAAAATTATTGACATCTGACAGAATTTGATGAAGCGTTGAAACAGTGCAGCCGCTAATGTCAACTAATGTGGCGTAAAAAATAAAAATTCCAATATTAGTGTAATCCTTTCCACAAAACTGAAAAAGGCGGCACAAAATGTTACCAAAATCATGGCCTTCTTCGACTACAATATTTTATAATGACCCTGTACATTGCCGATTGAGAGAGAAAGTTGCGGCGCGACGAAGGAGCGCTGCAATCTCTCGAAATCGGCAATGAATTTGCGCTCGTAATACACACAAGATTTTTTCTACAATCAAAACAGTTTGCATAATAATTAAAAACGTCCCACTTTTACAAAAAAATTAATTTTATTAACAATAAAACTCAAAAATTTTGTATAAACCAAAGTTTGTTTACCTGTTGCTATGGAATGAACTGGCCAGTGAATATTTGATTAATTGGATTAGCGAGCGTTTTATACACTTTGTCGCGCGTGAGCGACAAAGTGACGTTCTTCGGAAAACTTGACTTTTGCGTTGTCAAGTCCAAGCGTCAAATGCCTACTTTCTATATCGATTGTAGAATAAGAATAATTTGAACGTGTTGAAATTGCATTGTCGCATAAAGTTACGCAAAGCATTACAAATAGTTGCTAATCGCTTACATGGATTTTCTAAATAGTACGTCCACTTCATTTGACAGTGTCAATCCTAGTAATTTTATTATTATTAGAGTCTCTGACAGCTTAATATTTTGAGTATTTGGCAATAAATAATAATAATCGTTAAAGTTGGATTTTGCAAGGTTATGTTTTATCTTCATTTATGCATAACTTATTAGCGTCAACCCATTCACACAAATTTGCCTAAATTATCTTTACTTTTCCTTCAGCGTCAACACGTCTAAGTACAAAATTAATGTCATTTGAGTAAGACATTTGCATGAGGTTACATTTTTACTTCCCGAGCGTAGTCCGTCGGCCGACTCTCTAGTTTTACATTTTCTTGATCTTTCATGACCCCTGGACGACGAAGAAATAGGTCTCCCGTTTCCGTCTGTCCGTCTGTCCGTCTGTCTGCCGTCCCGGATTTTTATTAAACAGATAATCTCCGAAAGTACTAGACCGATTGTTTTGAAATTTTGTATTTATATAAGGAATATCATGTAGATGGTAAAACGCTAACCAAAATTAGCTTAATCATCCCCACCAGTAATGAGATTACGTCACTTCAAAATTGTACATAGTTGTTGGAGTTCAAATTGTATAAAATAACACAGTCCTGCACATGTAGTTTATAACTTCGAATTGGGTTTTTACCCGAAACGTCCAGACTTTTTGAAAAAAAAAAAAATTATGAAACAACATTTTGCATTTTAATTTGGAATGTGCAAAACCGAATGATTTTAAATCTTGCAGATGATTTACAGTTATGGTAAGCATTGTAAATTTTTAACCAAAATATATTTACTTATCCCATCCAATAAATTGATGAGGTCAGCTCAAAAGTTTGTCGAAAAAATCCTACCTAAAATGTACAAAATATGATGAGTCTGTCCTTGTGATTTATCATTCCATTCATATTTTTTGGATTTGCATATACAGGGTGACTAAAAAAATGAATGCGTGAATTTATTTTATTGATTTAATTAGGAACTACAGAACCGAATGCTTTGAAATCTTGAAGATCTTTTAAAGTTATCATAAGCATGCTAAATTTTTTATCAAAATGTATTTGCTCATCCCCCTAAAAAATTGATGACGCCACCCCAAAATTTTGCTGAAAACATCTTATCTTAAATGTACAAAATATGATGAGTGTATATTTGTGATCTAACACTGCAATAGAATTGCTTATACGGGGTGTCTGAAAAAAATTAATGAGTCAATTTATTTTATTAATTAAATCAAGAATTGCAAAACTGAATACTTACTTTGAAATCTTGACGTTGTGAAGTTATTGTAAGCATGTTAAGTTTTTAATCAAAATGTATCTGTTTATCAACCCCAAAAATGTGATTACCATACGCTAGATCCAGTGCTGTCGCGGCGATAGTTTGATTACAAATATATTTTTCTTTTGGGCTTTATTTTTGAGATTTGCTTATACGGGGTGTCTGAGAAAAATTAATGACTGAGTCAATCAATTTTATTGATTAAATCAGGAATTGCAAAACTGAATACTTTGAAACCTCGGAGACGTTTTAAAGTCATTGTAAGCATGGCAAATTGTTAATAAAAATAAAGTTTATTTCCCTCAAAAAATTGATGACGTTATCTTAACATTTTGCTGAATAAATTCTACCCAAAATGTACAAAATATGATGAGTTTTTACTTGTGATTCATCATAGCATGAATATATATTTTTTATTGATCAAATTAAGAACGAGTCACCCCATTTTCCCGAAAATGTGAAAATACAAACGTTTTTATTCAATAAGAATTATAATAATGATATTCAGAACATTTTGTCGATTGTAGCTTACTAGTTAATTATTTTGATTCTTTGTTTTGAGCGGACGCACTCATTCAAATCAAACTAATTTCTACGTGACATTCTTCCGATGTATAAACATAAACACTTTCAAGTTGTTTTTCTTATCGAGGATAATCTAAGGTCCTAAGTAATGAAGTCCATTGGATAATTTGGTATGTACTTTCATACTTTTTCTCGATATTTCATAAGGCCGTAGCTAGAGGGGGCTAGGGAATGCTCCCCTAGATCTAGGCAAGTTATAATTAATCAAATGTCAATTACAGCATCCAAAACCAAATAAAATGTACTGTTTTACTGAATAAACGGAAGTCAGAGCAATAAAAATGTCTGGACCGTCGGCATTGTCATCATTGCAGTTCGTAGAAACCATGTTTTAGTTTAGTTTAGTACTATACAGAGTGTTCATTTTATATGTTCACGCCTGACATTTTTTCATAGGCAACATATTATACACCTCAGAAACTACTTCGTCCAATTTATTTTTTTTAATAAGCAATCATAGCAATCACAGAAAAAAATGACAAAGATGTCGATGCCAAATAATGACAAAATTGAAAAAATTAATACTCAATTTATTTTAAAATGCCCCGCTACAAAAATGTAATGCGAAAAAAATATATAATAGGCATGCAGTCGTCACGTTTCCGACAGCGAGGGAAGTACTGTCTAAACTCTTTAAAGTAGACCAATTTTTTGTTTAATTAATGAAGAAACTAGTGGTGGTGGAGAGGCAAATACGCAGTAAAACCAGTTATATCAGACAAGAATTGACATGAAGAAAGTGGTTGTATATTACAGTTAAGTGTGTTGTTACACTGATCGTAATTCAAAATCGGTGTGAGTAAAACTCAACAATTTATTTCTCGATTAGCCAAATTTACACGAATATTTACACAGTGATTGTGTACAAAATAATTCCGACGCAACTTGACTGCACTCTGTCTTGACTGAACTTGAATCGTTCCCGAAAGTGGCCTCTTTTTAAACCCATACTCCGTTTTAGATATTCCGCGATCGAGGTTTTTCTAGAGTACCCATCGCGACTTCTGCTTCCAGGCTTTCCTTCACTCATCATCGCCGTACATACTAGAAAATCCTTGAGAAAACCCATAGGCGTCGTACCGGGGCGACGTATAGGTTTATTTCGTAATAATATTATTAATTGTTCTAAGATTTTTATCAACAGGCCCCAGTAGTTTAATTCAGAATATCAACTTCTTGCATCATTTTAACTAAAAAAGATTATTTCGACAGAACTTCTCTCGCCCTTGAAGTCTATCGGGGGGACTGACTACTTTTATCTTTTTTCGACATTTGATGACCCATAGAGTATGAAAAATTATTTCACGTGGTGCAGTCTCTGTACCGTCTATCCAGATATATTATTAGGCAGATAATCTCCAAAACTACCGGACCGATTGTATTTTATATGTATGTTAGGAATTTTGTGTACATGGTAAAACGCTAACCAAAATTTGCCCAATCTCCCAATCAATGTCATGACGTCTCAGAAATGTTTATAATAAATTTTATAAAACAACGTACTCTTACATAATTTTTTAATTTTTCAAAGAAGCGGGATTCGTGGCACTGCACTTCGGAGGCGAAAATAATAGCTTTCGACCAATTTTTTTTTGGTATTACACTGCCCCAATCCAAGTTGATATACGTGTCCTTGCAAAGATGTTGATGACGTCATCACAAAATTGTGTGAAGAAAAAAATCAACTCGAAAATGCTGGACATTGTAATTCAGGAGCGAGGGAAGTTCTATCGAAAGAACTTTCGACCAGTTTTTTCTTAACAGAAAATAATAATCAGTCTAATATTAATTAGTCGACGTCATCACAATCAATTACAGTTTGCAAATATGCCTCAGCATGATGTTCCTTAAAAATTATTAGAAAACGAGCATAAAAGTTGTACGCTTTTTTATTCAATACGACTGTACTTAGAATTTGGAGGTTATTATAATACAAAAATCGCAAAATAAAATTTTATCAATTTTCAAAGAAGCAGAATTTGTTGGACAATACTTCAAGGGAGAGAGAAGGAAGTATTAATAAAAGAGTAAATGGGGTCTATATGACTTATAGTTCTTACGGATATCATAATTTTTTGTTCCAAACCTTTGCTGAAGCCTTTTAAAATGGTAAAAAGTGAAAAAAATGAGAACAGGATGATGCCCATTGGAAAAGGGAGAAAATATAACAAAAATAAAAGGAAAAATAATTTACGGGCGGTATGAGGTCAGGAAGTGGAAGAGGGTCCTATCGCAAAAAGTTAAATAGCAAAGTTATTAGTAATAAAAAGATCTACAACTTTTATATTTACACTTTCTTTACATAACCTCAAAATATATGCGAAAAATGCAAATAACCGAGTTTTTGGTTTTTTATTTTTATCTCCCACAAAAAAATTTTGTTTTCGCGAAATTTGGTGAGAACTTACCTATTTATGTTTCAAACTCACTGTAATTTTTCTGATTCAAAATATTTATTTTTTCGCCATATTTTGATTGAATACCGAAAAACTACCCTAATTTTCAATCGAAAATTCTCACGTCAAAAGATTTGCTTTTTTAATAAAATTGGTGTGCTTTTTGTTCGCTGAAATCTCTACCTTCTGATGGTGTAAAGAAAATTATACATTACTACGGCAAATTTTCACAAGAAATGCAAAAAAACGAAGAAACTCAAAAAGTTGCTTCTTAATTATTATGTAAAATTTGGAGCTATTTATTAAAATTTACACGTTAATTACTCGAAAAACGTAAGATTCCATGTTACATTGATAAATTAAAAAAATGCAAATCGAAATATACCATTATAATTAACAACCAAATAAGTTAATAAACTTCATACTTTATAAGACATCTATAATATTTTGTTAAAGTTGTAGGATAATTTTTAAATACTTAATATGCATAGGTGCCTATTTATTGCTATGCTATTTTAAGATAACTTATATACTTGAATGGCCTACGGAAAATTTTAGCCCATGAGAAGAATGAACAACATTGTGTGAAGAGAATCGTGACGAATTGACTTATTTAAAAGAAACTTTTGGAATCTACAGTCACAAGGATTTTCCTGTAAACAAGCAGAAGAAAATGCTGATGCTGACATAATTAACATCTCGATAGAAACTGCCAGAAATACTAATAAAACTGTCATACTTGTGGCTCAAGATATTGATCTTTTGGTCCTTTTGAATCAATTGAAGCAGAACATCCTAAATTCATTTTCATTGTCTTCTAATAAGTATATAAAATTCTAGTGGCACAGTGTGTGTAACCAAACTCCCCCGAAACTCGGTTATTTGCATTTTTCGCATAAATTTTGAGGTTATGCAAAAAAAGTCTAAATACAAAAGTTGTAGATCATTTTATTACCTAGAACTCTGCCACTTAACTTTTTTCGATAGGATTTGTAGTTTTGCCGGAAATCGTGATAAACCGTTTTCCAGCCTTAAAAGCTCATCCTCTTCCACTTCCCGACCTCAGATCGCCCGTAAATTATTTTTCCTTTTATTTTTGTTATATTTTCTTTCTTTTGCAATTGGTATCATCCTGTTCTAAATTTTTTTGTTCTCAAAAATTATCGGCACTGGCCTGTACTGTAAGTTTGTGGGAAAACACAAATATTTTTTAAAATACTCATTGCTGATTCGTTGTTGCCCACCATAATCTGATAAATAATTTAGTTATTATATTTTTAGATGACGTTATCATCTTTTTCTGTTTTCATAAGTGTGCCAACGGTTTATCGTCATTATCATAATCTAAAAATGTACCCAAAATTTCAGAATAAGTTATTCGCTAGTTCGTCATCGTTTGGTTATAATGTAGCCAATGGATTAGATATAGATGGAAATATGGATATCGTATTATATTCGTATTCTATGTGTTGTGAAATGCAAAGTTGCAACTGAAATGAAAATTTATTTTACGAATCTGCGACAATTAGCAGTTAGAGTTGTTTTGTTTTCTTATAGTTTCTTATCATGTTACTCTAGTTACGTGTGTAACCACTGCAATAAATGTAATTCAGTACATGATAGCAGTAAATCGTGTTAAATACGATGAAGACTTGTTATACCAAAGTCAACTTGGCACTTACACATAAAACGGTACTTAACAAGGTGACAAACTATCAAAATGAACTTTGAGAGCGCAAGCGCCTTCTTTTCAACTGTTGATATCCAACCAAAGCGGGTAGCGGAATTCTGGCGCACGGTCCTTTCCAGTATTTCCCCGGCGTTTGCGAGAAATCTGTCGAAGCTTTTAAAGCTTGAGCGCGCTCACGCGAACTTTGAGGCTTTCTCTTTGCGAATTAAACTTGTGAAAATCGTTCGAAAGTGTGTTCAGTGACTTATTTACATTTTGTGGCCCAAGTGAAAATTGTGTGTGAACTTGTGCCGTTTCACAAAATGCATGCAGTTTTCGTCTTTATTGTTACCCTGGCTCTGCTTGTCTTGGCTTCTGGTGAGTTAAAATATATTTCTTTTGTCTTAAGAATAAGAGTAACAATAATAAGAAAATATAAATTCACTGAGAGGTTTCGGATGATTTTATTCAGTCACAAAAAACAATCACAAATCATATGTGCATTATGTATCGAATGTATGCAGTATCAGGCTTAATAATTGTTGAAAATATGCGACTCGTTATCTCGGAGTTTCGGGTAAATTAATTCAGTTTTTAGATACCGTGCTGTTGCGATCGGCGACTGTAAATTAATCTGATTGATTAACCGGATTCCGAGAAAAATTAAATTATTGGTGTGCATGAAATTAAATTTCAGTTACCATTTTAACTGTAAACACCCGTATTTTCTGCCTCGTATTTATTTAAGTCTCCTTTCCATCAACACCTTGTTTTGAAGCATCGGGTGACAAGTAAAAATATTTCTTTTGATGGGTACAGATTATCTGAGAGTGTTATGTTTGTATACACCCCAACTTATAAGATGTAAACATGTCATTCCCAACGTAGGAGTGTTAATTAAACAAAAATAATTTGCTTCTTGTTGACATGTTAACATGTATAAAAAGTGACGTGGGTTGTGGGCGGATGCATTATGTAAGAAGAATATCTAGCTCTTCCAATAATTTAATTAATTAATACGTTACATAAAGTAAGCAAGTTGTGTGTCGCGTAAGTAAGCTTAACAGAAGTAAAGGAGAGTTGGGTGCAATTATTCATGTGATCAACTTTTTTCTTATCTTGTTAATCTGGTTCGTTGAAGTATATGGACAGGTTGATGCATGTTGTTTTTTTTTTATATGAAGGATACACATCAACAGACACTGATAAAAGTTAACATATATGTATCTTATCACTTTAGGAATATAATTTTTGTAATCCACCTACAACTATATTTTATTTAACTTTAATCTTCTTTTTGGCTCAGAATAATGGCCGTAATAAATGAAACTACTACAAGTTGAGATTTCATCAAATGAGAAACACTTAGACACATTAGTTAGTGTTTAATCACATCGAATCTTTTTAATTAAATCTCACTAATAATACTTAGACATATGTTTTCTATTAAAAAATAACAATTATTTCACTTTTAAACTAACCGAAAGGATGTTTTATTGTTTGAAACTGTTCTGTTCCTTGGAATAAATGATAGGAATGTGAGTTTGAATGTGATTTCCAAAATGTTTATAACTATCTGTCTGGTGTATAATTATTAAACACGATTTTTCATAATTTTTTTTTCAAACGTAGTATTTAGATTTAATATGTAGATTGTGTGTTTTAAATATTAAATGAACTTCCGATTTCTCTGCTAAAACAGTTATTGTTCCAGGTAAGTGATAATAAATCTACATTCATTACCGGAAGACCACACATATGTATATTGGATTATCGTAATCTAAATATTAAGTAAAATCAATAAAAAATGAGTTAAAAATCTTTTAATTACGGTAGTTTCTGTTTGCAGATAAGTAATCTAAACAATATCCACAAGGTCTTTCAAAAATAAAACAGTTATCTAAATTTTGCCTAGTTCACCGTACCAAACAAATAATAATTTTTTATAATAAATCCTTGTATTTTGTTATTCTACACATTTTTGAATAAACTGGAGTAATGAGCAGAAAATCAGGGTAACGTTTAATTTATACATGATGGTAATTAAAATATTTTCATATGCATTTTTTTGGAAAAAACGTTTAAGAAAAAAGTTGCTACGAATATAATCTGATTATACTGCCAGCAACTATATTTTTTACGGAAACGTTACGTTTTAATCCATATTATTTTAAAAATGTAATATAAAAACTAAATTCAGAAATTCAGAATATTATATTCTAAGGTTCAAACCAACCAATGAAATAAGACTGTATGAAGACAGTTAGTTATCTGCACATGATTATGGATGAAATTTAATAAAATGAAACAAAGACTGAATTTTTATAGCATCATGATATATCGTGTTTGATGCTTGAGACATTGATGTTCTGCACCTTACCAAATAATGGATTTTTCTCCCCTAGTAGTAGATAATAAAAACAATTGGCAATGTTGACATGGTTAATTTAGACTGCCGTAGTTGACTTGATGTGTTGACTTGCCATTAAACTGCCACTTTTTATACATTATTATTAATGATAGATGCTAGCTCCAAAATGTAAAATTGGGGAGTTAGAATTTGAAGTAAGGTAAAACAAATGTGCCCAGAATGAAAGGAGTAAACATATAAACTACGTAAGAAAAGATCTTCCGGACTTTCACTTTTTAATTTCTCTCGATCTTTCGAATGTGGGGAAATAGTTCAGCTCGGCCCAGAAAAGTGTCGTCTCTTTCATGGTATATAATTACTAATTATTATCTAGCGTTATTTCTAGACTCAATGTGAAAAATGACGATGGCATGACTTGAAACGCAGAGATAAACTAATTTCTTCCTAGAGTACCGTCCACGTAAAAAGACATCGGCCCGCAAGCATATTTTTTTCAATGTAGAATTCATTATACATTTATATGTATATTTATAAATTTCGTTATAGGTATCAGAAAGAAATCCAGACTGTATGTATATTATATATAGGTATATATATATATATAAAAGATACGTCTTCGTAATTATTTTAACTATATGTAAATATGTGGGGTAACGATCGTCAGATTAGAAAGTGGCCCTGATGTTAAAAAAATAATCATAACATTTAAAGTACTAAACAGTGTATATTCCTATTCAATTTTTGACAGCAAAAACGAATCTAACAGTGCAAGCACAATTTTAACAGTGTGTTGTAATCAGAATTGGCTTTCGAAATTCTGTTCAAAAATTCCACAATAGATTTTGTACGTTACAAAAATAATATATGATGTAAACTAACGTACAATGCATCATTTCCTTTCTTTGAACAAATTATAATACATAGGTGTTTTGTTTAAAAAAATATATGCAGAAATACTAATAAAACATACTGTGCAGTCAAAAATAATTTTAGATTGTGCATTCAACCAATTTCTCAAAATGTTAAAATATTTTACTAATATATCACAAAACTTTGACCTAATGTTATTTATACAGAACTTCGTTCGCCCTCGAAGCACACTAAAATAAATGCAGTTTTTTAGATATATTATAAAACTTGAATTTGCGAATTTTATTTTTTATGATAATCCCTATAAGTTAAAAGGAAAAACCTGAAAGTATAGTAAATTTTATATCGATTTTTATATACCAGTTTACTTTATAAATAAGAAATCCTTACATACATTTCCTGAAGAAACTGACGTATCTCTTTGCCAAAAATACAGGATTTTTTTAGGTCGGTAACTTGATGATGCTCACTAATATCAATATTCTTTTTAATCGACGACGTCAGTGTGGATAATATACAATAGCATAATGAGAATTGTTTTAGCTTTCCTTGTTCCATAAAGCAGGGACTACGAAATTTCTTAACTGCCTTCTTCAAAATACCTGTATGCTATACGTAACGTATTTAGCACCAATTAACCTATCGATCGCAGACTGAGAATCTACTTCAATATCAGAAGGTAAATTTTCCTTTGGATCACTAATTTTTGCAATTACACAACAAACTGCTTTCACTGGAACGCTTGCGAAAAACGTAAACAAATTAGTATCTAACTACTAGCCGCCCTCTTATTTTTCCATCAGTGTAATTTTAAAAATGTAACTAAAAACACAGAAATATCTGTATTATTTAAGGAAGTAGATAAAACGTTGTACAATATTTGTATCGTAATGTCTTTTTTTTACGATACTTAAGTTTACTTTGTATTTTATAATTAATAATTTTTTAAAACGATATTTGTGTTATGCTTAAATTGCAACTGCAGATTTATTTTACCTGAAGACTGTGTCAAAAAGATATTAATTAATCTATAAGTAGACAAAAAAAACTGTACGTTGTGTATACTCCCTGCACTTCCTTGCTAATCAGTTTTCAAACTGAAATTTATTCACAACTCACGAGATTTTAACTTAATGTATAATTAAATGGGCGTCTGATACTTCCACAATCGATAACACTGAAATTTTGATACATTTTATCCAATCTTACGTACAAATAACCATGTATTTCATGATTTATTATCCTGCCGCCTTTATACTGACACAAGAAATCCCAAATAATGTATTGAAACATCAATATTTTAAACCCCCGATCAATGTCTATCCATTTACACCTCTTATTTTTTAAAATAGAACTACAAATTTTCTTGACTATGCTATGTACTTACAATCCTGCAGTTTACTGTTCTAGATACTTGAGCTTTCGAAGTTACTGCTATTATCTATTATATTTTTTCAGCGATCAAATCTCTAGAACGGTATATTTCAGTGTTTTATTATTGGTATTGCACTGCATGTGTCGGAATTGACATACGAATGCGTGTCCTTGCTGAACTAATGTTGATCGGCATATTTTAAATGGGAAAACTCACCAATACATACACACAAGTATGGTCTTGCCCTTTATCAATGAATTCATATGTCTGTCCCAATTGTTAACTAGGTTAACGATAAGGACACTCCAGAGTTCCAGACCAAATATAAACGTATAATATATATAGGGTGTTATTAAAAAATAAGTGATAAATTTCCAGTGATTAGGGAAGGTTCCAGCTATAAAACAATACTTGAAAATGTGTACTAAGGCCGTTTTACAGTAAGGAAGGACAATTTTAAGCATTTTAAAATTTATATTGTCTACGTCAGCTGCAATAGATCGAATGTTATTCATAATACTTTCTACCTCATTTTCATAAGCTGGTTCAAGATTAAAATCTGCCGTAACACCTGGAAGTCTATTCCTTTGAAAAAAATGAATAAAATTGTGTAAGCTAAGGAAACATTGTATGAGTGTTTATCCGGCGAGCGGTTACTTCCATGTCTGTCCTTTGTCGTCTATCACTCCATTTTCTCGAAAATCTGAGAATACAATACTGTTATTATTGTCATTGCGCTCTACATTTTTAAATTAATCCACG